AATGAGGTAGGGGGAAAGAGGGCATGAACAGACAAGACGACAACGCACAGGTGTCTGGCTGGGAGTGCCAACAGGAAGATGGGAAATCAGGGAGGGGAGTAGATTTTCAGAAGCACAGTGGAGCTAGCTCGGAATTTGCAACAGGGGCACACCCATAAGACACCCTTGCCACTCACCCAGGTGACAGTACCCATGACAGGGTCTTCGTCGTCTGTGCCTTCAGGGTTTCTATTGGCTTGCTTCCTGTGGGTTTTCATGCTAAGAGCCAAAAACAAAACAGCACATGACAAGCAGAATGGCTGAGGCACAGGTGGGCTGGGTCCCGCCCCCACTCCCACCCCAACTTCCAGGTGAAAATAACAAGGGGCGCACCAAATCCTTTTACTTAGAGACCGGGCCCCACATGAAGGGCGAGTGTCTGCCTCCTGGATGACCAGGAGTGAGAAAGGCCACACTCCTGGCTCAGGGAGCCCCACGATGATATTTGCATCACCCCCCCTCTTATGCTCATAATGTTCATAGCAGCACGATTCACAATCCCCAAGGCGTGAAAGCAACACACGCGTCCATCCACGGATGAGTGGATCAACGGAGATGCCCTATCTCCAGACAACGGGATCGTGATCAGAAGTAGGAAGAAATGACGCTGTGATACGAGGCCCCTTAGAGTGAGGTTCCTGGTATATGGAATGCGCAGAGTAGACCCATCTCGAGAGACAGAAGGGGGAGTCATGGTGGTCGCCCAGGGCTCGGAAGGGTGGAGGCGCAGAGAGGTGAATGTGCTGTTATCATTTTTGATTTTTAGGCTCATGAAAGAGTTCTCAAAGGGATGGTGGTGATGGATCAACAGCTCGGCGACTACACTAGAAGCCAGTGACTTATGAGCGCTTGATTCGATGGCGTGGGAATGATAGCTCAATGAAGTTGTCACCCCCAGAACAAGATGATGAGTCCTCTCTGGATCTGCAAAGGCCTGGATTTCAGGGGTGTAGCCGTCTATCTCCCCACTTCCCGCCGCCCACACCTTTCTCTGCCTCCCTAGGACTTACGCCGACTTACAGGCAAAAGAAGGTGAGGCACACACACAGGCAGATCAGGGCCATGGTCCCAGCACCACCAAGGGCCCCCAGAGCCACCTCTGCCCTGGAGGCTGATTTCCCTGCAGAGGAGAAGAGTGTGAGCAGACCCACTCAAGAATGACTTTCTTATCATCACACCCCCTCGAGTACTTGCCCCGCGTGGCTGCTTAGCCAGGAGGGGAGTACCCTGTCTTCACGATGACCCTACGTCCCAGCCCCAGCCCTGCTTCCCGTCAGTGTCCCCTGACCTGGCAGCAGCAGGACGGTGACACTCTGGTTCCCAAAGTCGTTCCTGGCCTCGCAGCAGAGTCTGAGGACCGAGGTGAGCACCACCTGGAGCCGCAGGGAGCTGTTGGTGCAGGACTTGGTGGAGCCGCTGGTGACGGAGGCGTTACTGCTGTTTCCCTCCACCCGCCTGTCCCCAATCCACCAGTGCAGGGAGGGGACTGGCCAGGCCTGGGCAGAGCAGGTGCAGTGCAGAACCTCGGCCTCCCAGAAGCAGAGAGGCTCCGTCAACCGTGGAGGGTCTGTGGAGAAAGAGGAGGCGATTCGGTGGGTGCTTCTCCCCGCCCCTGGTCCCGGGTGGGTGTCCTGTCCCCAGGGAATCCCCACACTCACACAGCACAAAGAGGTTCAGAGAGACCGAGCCGGAGCCCAGCGCATTCTTCGCTCGGCAGGTGAACCTTCCTGCATCTTCAAGGCTGACTCGAGGCCACCTCAGGTCGCTCGAGTTGGAGATGGAGACATTCCGGACTGAGGGTCCCTGGAACCAGCTCAGCTCTGCAGGGGGGTTGCTGAGGGCCACACACTGCAGGTGCAGGGACTGGCCCTCCAGGATGGAGTGGGAGGAGGAGTTTCCCATGGCCTTGAGGTCTTGGGGAGAGGAAGATGGAGAGAGTGAGAAATGAGATATGGAAGGAGGGAGAGGAGAAATGTGGAGAGAGAAAGGGATGGGAAGGGCGATCAGGGACTGTGGAAAGAGGATGGTTAATAGTTCCTCCCTTCCTCCCTTCCTTCCTTCCTTCCCAGGATGGGTTGACTTCTCCCTCTCCTCTCCAGGCCCACACTGAGATTGGCAGGTGTGTGACGGCTGAGGAGAATGGACAAACATGTTGGGGCTCACACGATCACAGCAGAGGGGGGA